TCTTTAAAAAAAAAAAAAACAATCAGATCTAATTAAAGTGTTTACTCTTGCTTTCAAAAAAAAAAAAGAAAGGTTGTTGTCCTTGTTTAAGGTCACAGAGCAGAGCTAGTTAGTGGCAGAGCTGGGAACAAAACTCAGGTCACCTGGTGCTTAGTCCAGTCCTCTCTCCATTACAAAACCCCAAAACTTAGAAAGCTCAAGGCTGGGACATCTGGGTGGCTCAGTCCATTGAGTGTCCAACTCTGATTTCAGCTCAGGTTATGACCTCAGGGTTGTGAGATTGAGCCCCTGTCAGGCTCCTTGCTCAGCAGGTAGTCTGCTTGACATTCTCTCTCTCCCTCTGCCCCTCCCCCCCCAGTCTCTCTCTCTCTCTCTCTTTCAAATAAATACAGTAATCTTTTAAAAAAAGAAAAAAGAAAGTTCAAGGCTGCCGAAATCGTTGACCTTCGCTACTTGCTTTGAGTTGAGGTAGAATAGAGAGGAGTCAGGTGTATAAGTGCCTATGTTAATTCTAGCTTTGGACCACCCAGCCCCTCTTTAAGCAGTTATTTGCTTCTTGCTCTTCTTCCCAGTTCAACATCAACCCACCTGTTTAAGAGAACAAGTCAGAATTTTCCTGGATTAGCTCCATGACTTCTCCAGAAATTCCAACATAAACAACCACCTAGCAGTACTCAATACAAATATCGATATGTACTTGACACAGAAACGTGCTAGTATTCATTTGTTGCTTCTGTAGTCTTGTCTCCTGTTTTCTCTGTTTCTAATGGACCCCATGATTTAGGTTGAGCTTGACCGTTCACTCAGCCCCACCCAGTTGGTCTAGGCCAGTCTCTTGGACGTTAGGATTATTTCATGGCAGGGCAGTCAGGTCCCAGGGAACTCAATTTTAGGGGATTTATTTAAACTTTTGAGGAAGAGGATTCTCTATATTCTGCTTTGTTGAATGTGGAAGCAAGGAGTTTGGGGAGTTTCAGGAAGACATTTTGTAACCACATTGGGCGGGCCTGTTGAAATAAGTGTTACTTTGAGGAAGCATTGCTAAGAAAATGAGGGAGAGAAACCCCATGTCCCAGGCATGTCATTTGAACCCCTGGATGACTCACCTGTCATTAGTTTTATATCTGATTATTTTAGTATGTGATTAAATAAATATTTTCATTATTTAAGCCATCCAGTGTTCTATTATTTACTGCCATAAACATCTCAGATCTGTTATGATTGTGAGTTTCAGCATATCTTCATTTTGCCAATGGATCAGAGTCCATTTTAAATTTGGTCCCAAAATGCTTTCTTTAATCACTCACGCTTATAAGAAACTCTACCCAAAATGCATAGTACTTACTGCATATGCCTTATGTGACACAAAATCCTGCATAGCAATGTCTAGGTTAATGAAAGGAATGGATTTTACTAAAATATTTTATCTTATTTTTTGTAAAATATTTTATTGTCAGAAACTTTGTATCAGAGAAAGAAATAATACAAGAGGTATTCAAATGGATTCCTTACAGCCTACCCCCTAGTAGAGTAAAATATTGATCCCAACTCTCTATGCAGGCTAAGCTTGGCCTCCCCTTTCTGCCGGCTGGACCCTACCCAGAAATGGAGCCACTCAGAATTGTTGCAACTTGGGTGGCTTCCTCCACATTCTAGATGATTAGGTATTCACTCCTGACACCCAAGAAAGAGTTTTGCTTTCATCTGAACATTGGCCATGGTCCTTGCCCGTATTCTAAGGGCCTATGCTATAGATGGCCCTCCCGTTCAGTCATGTTTATTAACCCAGGCCTGAAGGATGCAGAATGTCCTCTCATCCCCTCTACACCTTTGTTATACACCTACTGACTCTGTTCTAAGAAGCTAGGTTTACAGAAATGTGTTAATCAAGCAGATACTATACTTAAGGCAGCAATTTTTGGTATTATATCATTTGTCATTTAACTTTTGCATCTAGTCGTGATATGCAAAATATTTGACAATCTGTTTGGCATGAGCATTTGATCAATCAGTTTGGAAGCCTGACCAATCAGAATGTATGCCCAAATAATCAAAATGGACACCCAACCAATCAAAATGGATGCCTGACCAATCGGAATTAAAAGCCAACCAATCAGAATGAACACCCGACCCATCAGGACAAATGAAATGTATACAACCAAATACCTGTCTCCCATTTATCATTGACCTTTTCACTTGTGGATTCTCCTCTCAATTAACCGGGAAGCAAACTGAGGGCAGGGGACCACATGATAGATCTCTTTGTATTCTCCAAGTGGCCTTGCTGAGCTGGTTTCATAGTGAGCTTAATGGATATTTGTTTGAGTGGACATTATTCATCCCATGATTACTCAGGAAACATCAGTGGGTGGAAAGAGTACAGTTTGTCCCTCTCTGATGAAGATAATTATAGAATTATCCCACTGGAATATCACTAAACAAATAGCATGTTTTTGGATAACACACAGGTGATAAGAGAAATTGGTATTTTTTGAGGAATTATCATTCAATATGATCTTAAGCTAGACAAATAAGATATAATCACACTGATTTCTTAAACACAATAATGAATAGTATACTTACAGAATGAATAACATATAAATACAAGATAGGTAAAAAACAGAAAGGTATCTGTGAGGTCAAAAATACCTAGGTCCTACAGCGAATAATAAACTGAAGGTGTCCCAGCTATTTAAAAAACTAGAAAACTGGCATGATAGTCAGATGTTCATTCATTTATTTGACAACTTAATTGAGTACCTGCTCAATTAAGTCATCATGCTAGGCATGCTGGGGGCACAGTGAGAAATTAGCAATGTCCTTTTCCTCAAAGAGCTCAAGTTTTAAGGGAGAAGACAAAGAAGTACACAAACTATTAGATAACAGAGAACTTATTTGATGGCTGAGTCATCAGTCAGTGAAAATAATCACCATGAAGGACATCTTTGTAGCCCACCGGGACAGCTGTGCTCAACAGATGGCAGAGGACCAGAACCCAAGAGTGTTTGGACAGAAGTGTCAACACTGACGGGTGCAGGCTGATGACCAGAAGCTGCTTTGCCCCTAATTTTTCAGGACCATGTAAGCTCCCGGATTCTTGTAGGATGCAGTTACGAGGAAGAAAAGCCCCAGTAATGATAGATAACCAGTTTTGCCAGCCCTTGACAAGTAGGGGTCTCAGCCAAATTTAATTTCATGTAAGCAGTTAAGAAAGGTAACTTTTCTTACATGCAAGTTTTATAGAGCAATTTAATACAGTTGGAGAATGCTTGAATTAATTTGAAAATTTGCCTAGAGAACACACAGACTCTCAAGAATATGTGTAGATTCTTGGGGGGATGTCTTTGATCCCCAAATGAATAAACTCTAAGAAGTGAATAATGCCCTTGGAGCTGTGCAACATGGCAAAGGAAAGCCAGCTTGAGGACAAAGTAAACATGCAGAGGAGGGCAGGGAAAGAGAATACAGGAAAATGAACTAAAGCTCCGATCAAAACCAGCCGGAAGCTCACACAAACCTCCCACCATTCAGACCTCCTTTCAGCATCATTACTGCTCCTCATTAGAAGATTCACAGGGAAGAACTCAGATTGACGCAGCCTGGTCCTATGTCCATCGCTTTGGCTGGACGAGTAAAGTACCATGATTCACAGCCTTTCCCAAAAGCAGGAAGAAAGAGTGCTGGCCTGACAAAAACCACAGAGGGTCAACTCCTTGAACACATAGATTTCTGTAAGTCAAGCTGCTATGTCCACGTTAACCCTATCAAAGGCTTCAATAAACATTTACAGAATCAGAATGTTCTGGTCTTCCTAGTGCTCTGCAGTGATGTAGCATTTCAAAGATGGGTTTGGGCAACTAGCAAAAAATACTGATGTGTTTTCCTCAGAGCACAGTAGCATGGATTTTTAGAAAGGGGGTCCACCAATGCCACTTGGAGAGAGAGAGGAAGGTGGCAACCAGCAACCTGTTCCATGTGGTACCCTCAGCTCTACAAATATATTTATTGTCCAGTCCTTTGAGCAAAGTACCTTGATTTAATGGTATTGCTACCACCACCAAATCTGATCTCGAAGAACACTGTTGTACAAATATAAAAATGAATAATGCATAAAGGGAAACATTTGGATTCTTCTTGAAATAGTGTCCATATATCAAAATTCTTAAATGGTTCAACAGTGATACACAGACTTACCACCTAGAAAGTCCCAATATTATATACACTTGGTGGTAGAGAAAAACCAGGGAAGTGAAAATAAGACACAGTTGTTGTTGTTTTTTTTAATTCCCATCAATTAACAAAATTCCCCTAAGGAAATTTAGGGACTTTAAAATTCCTAACTCTAACTTCTTTCTGAACTTAAGTTCTATACCACATCAGTGTGTTCTTACTCATACAGAAAACGAATGCCAACAGTTACATGCAGATAGTGGGGCTGAAATTTCTTCTAATCAGTACACATTCTATAAAAGAAAGATTTCACTGGTCTCAGAAGATTTTTTCCCCCCTTCTTTTCCAGAATGAAGGTGAAGGTATAGAACTGAGCTGTTCACGCTTGTTCAGCCCCGGTTGAGGCCAATTTTACAGGCTTGTCCAAGAATTGGCTGGGGCAAAGGGGCAGAGGGCAGGGCCCTTCTCTTGAGGGGACAGAAACTGACACTGACATCCTTAGGAGCTTTGTTCCCATCTAGTGGGCTCCAGGAATTAGACATTCGATTAGCAGCAACTTTCTGGGTACTGTATTATCAATAAGTGTGAGTCAATGACACATTCCATCTTCTTTCCACATAGAAGGTGAAGGCCAATACTAAGACCAACTGAATCTTCTGCCACAACAAGACCAAGAATGGAATATCACTGGCACCATACATGAAGTCACAAGGCACTCAAGATGTGTTTTAGAAGAGCCTGTCTTGTTTAACTAACTGTCCCAAGTTTTTTCCTTATTCCACTAATGGTTGAGTCCACCGGCTCCCTTAATAACCTCCTCTAACCTTCCAGAAGGTATTTCCTTAGATCTAAGGTAAATGCCTAGGCCAGTGATTCTCAAATATTTTTACTTCAGGACACCTTTAAAAATCCTCTTAAAAATTATTGAGGACTCTGAAGAGCTTTTGTTCATGTTGGTCTTATCAATCGGTATTTGGCATATTAGAAATTAAAACTGAGAAGGGAGAAGAGATGAGAGACAGAGCCCTGACTGGATAGAGCTTCTGGTCCTAGACCTGCGTAGCCATTCCCTGCCCTTTGGCTTTACTTGAGCCAGAAATCTCCCTTCCAGAGAACTTGATCTGGTTGGGTTTCTGCCACTAGGAAATGAAAGAGGCCTGAACACTATATCCACAAAACAAAGAATAGTTTAAACCAGTATATAAAGGAGTAGAGTGAGTATAACAATGATGCACCCCCTTTCATTTGTCATCCATTGAGAGCCTCCAGAGGGCTTAAGAAGGTAACCATCACCACTAACATTTCTACAGTGCCTATGGATTTCAAAGTGCTTTCATATTAAGTATCTCATTTAATTTTCTCTACAACCCTATGAAACAGCTTGTTTTATACCCATTTTACAAATGAGAAAACTGGGGCGCCGAGATGGAGCCGTTAAGCCGCTCAGCCAACACAAAATCCAAATCTTATTCTCTAGATTCCCACGGTCATAGTTCCTGTCTCATAATGCTTGCCACTTTATAGGACACAGACCTGTAGCACAAGCCTTAATATTTTCAATTCCCAGATTTTTTATCCATCGTCTTGCAGGGGGAGGGGAGTGGTCTGCATAGCAGATCCTCTAAAATACCAGTCGTATTTGGCTCTGGTCTGTGTGGGGCGTGAAGAGAACATGACTGGGGTTTAAGTTAGAACGGCAATCATGCTTTTCGAGATCTGTAACTGAGGGGCTGCGGGAGGGGGCACAGAGGTGGTGCTGGGCAGGAACTGCAGAAGCCAGATAATGCACCCTGCAGATAGTCCACAGGCTGCGCCACAGCAGCGTGAAGCAAAGAAAGCATCTCTGCTCCGGGTCCGGGCGGAAGAGATGCGGGGGTCGTGGGACTCAGATTCCGAGGTCTGGATTTGAAAGGCGCCCACACACAAAGAAACCTTGAAGTTGAGTTCCCGCGGCACGACGCGCAGAGTTCGAAACCGAGCCTTCCTTCCCAGCAGCGGTGGAAACGTCTAATCCACCCGCTCACCCAGCAAGGCGCGGATCTTCTTTTATCCCCTGGGGCTGCTCGGACAGCCGACGCCGGGCACGCCCGAGGCTCCTCCAAGGAACTACAAGTCCCATCTAACCCTGGGACGCGGGCGATGATGACGAAGCTCCCGCGGATTGGCCGCGCGGGGCGGGGCGCGCAGGCCTTCTCCAAGGGAAGGGGCGGGTCGCAGGGCGGGGCGAGCGGCCGTGGCTAGGCGGACACGCCCCCTCGCCCGCGGCCCCCTCCCCGCCTCTCTCCGCCGCTTCTCTCGCTCCCGGGTCAGAGGGCCGGAGCGAGAAGATGGCGAAGACGTACGATTATCTCTTCAAGCTGCTGCTGATCGGCGACTCGGGGGTGGGCAAGACTTGCCTCCTGTTCCGCTTCTCCGAGGATGCCTTCAACACCACCTTCATCTCCACCATCGGTGAGGGAGGGGCCGCGGCCGGGGACGGGGAGTGAGGGAGATATGGGGGGCGGGTGCAGGCGGGCCGGGGAGCGGGCTGGAGGAGGGCTTGGGAGCCCCAGGGAGGGGACCCTGGGGACAGCAGGGCGGCGAGGGCAGTAGGAGAGGGTGAAGGAGTGAGGGAGAGGGGCGGGCGGGGACGTGAGGCGGGGGGGGGGTGAAGAGGGAACTTGGGGGCAAAGGAAGGGGAAGGAGAACCAGAGCAACAAGGACTAGGGGTATTGGGGAAAATGAGAGGGTTGGGAGAGTGACAGGGAAGGGTCTTAGCGGGACAAAGTGGGGGACGGGAGACACGAAATCTCATGGAGAAAGAGAAGGGGATAGTGGGTGTGAAATGGATTAAA